GAGGGGCGTGTGCAGTCTTTTTATAGTCTGGAGAGGAGCCTAATGACCACCAGCTTTGTGCAATTACCTCCTGTATCTGCGTAACTGTTTCTTACGCCTATTAGCTCTTCGGTGCCGGGCATCCAGGAACAACTCACTGCTGACGTCCGGAAAACACTCCCTTGTCTTCTCCCCACTCGTCCAAGGCTCAGGTGCATCCTGGTGGCCAACCAGCCTCTCTGCGCCCTGCTCGGAGTCGGAATCCTGGTCAGGGTCCTCCACATCCTCCAGAGCCGACTCATAGGGCCCCTCGCTGTCGGAGTCTGGTGGCAGCTCCAACGGCTCCTGCTGGGCCACAACAGTATTTTAGGTTTGGGGGTTTTTTTGAAGTTTTTTGAAGTTTTTTAAAAGGCTTGGTTTAATCAGTGTTTGGAGTACTGGTATCTCTTTCCTTTGTCTTTTTTTTCTGCCCCCCCCTCATTTTCTTGGCCAGTGAGGATGGGGTACTTGATGTAATAAAGGCTTGTTAATTGTCCTGTGGTGCAAAATCTTAATGGAGTTTTTTCCAGTGCCATTTATATTCAGTTAATATGATTAGGAGTTGCTGAAAGAGTGATAAAGAACATTGACTAGGTCAGTGAAGGCAAACCTTTTTTTTACAGCATGCCAAAAATGTGCACATGCCCACACGCACACGCATGCCCACAATTCCCTGCCCAATTGTGCATGCGCACGTGACCCCCCACACGCGCATGTGCACGCAACCCCACCCCAGGCTCTCGAGGCTTTCCTGAATCCTGGGGAGGGCCCCTTAAAGGCCCTCTGGAAGTCAGAAATGGATCGTTTCCAAACTTCCAGTTGGCCCATTGGGCCCATTTTTTGCCCTCTCCAGCCTCCATTTCTGGCTTCTGGAGAGTCTCTGGGAGGCCGGGGGAGACTGTTTTTGCTTCAGGAGACAGTGGTTCTGAGCCTTGAGGCTCCCAGGCAGCCCATGTGCACAGGCCACTGGGCTGGCTCCAGTTGCAAAATGTCGGAAAATCCCCCATTTTGCAAGGGGCTCTCAAAGAGAATGAAATGGGCATGGTTGCTTCTTCCAACAGTGAAGGCCCTGGTTCCTCTTCCTTCCTTGGCTGTTGGTAGAAGCACTGCGCCAGCTTCATTCTCTTTGAGAGCCACCTTGTTTGCCGTGGCACGAGCGCTGCCGGGGAGAAATTAGGGGGAGAGGGAGGAGAAAGCCAAGCTTCTGCTAGGGATGGGCTTCTCCCTCTCCCCTTGATTTCTCCCTGGCAGTGCTCACCTCGCACCATGGCAAACGGTGTTTGTGTGTGTGTGTGTGTAAGGGTGGCTGGATGGGACCAATCAGTGGGAGGCTGGCAAAGAAGCCTTGGTTCCCCACTGCCGTGGCTCTTGGAAGAAGGAGGCAGGGATGCTAGCTGGCGCTTTCTTCCTTTACTGCTCGCCCCGGCCTTCGCTGAGGGATGGAGTATTACCGCCCCTCTCCACTGGATGCAGCCTGGGCTCCGTTTGCCCTGCGTAGTTGGGCGGCTGGCCAGGAAAGCGGCGAGGGAGCGAGCAGCGCTGAGTGGTAAGGGAAGCTAGCACCAGCCAGCATCTTTGCCTCCTTCCTCGAGAGTCGCAGCAGGAGGGAAACTGAGGCTTCTTTGCCAGCCTCCCAGCTGATCGGTCCCAGCCAGCCCCCCTTACACACACGCACACCGCTTGCCGTGGCAGGAGCACTGCCAAGGAGAAATCAGGAGGAGGGGGAGGAGAAAGCTAAGCTTCTGCTAGGGACGGCCTTCTACACCTCCCCTTGATTTCTACCCAGCAGCGCTCACCTCACGCTGCTGCAAGCGTGTGTGTGTGTGTTTCTCTCTGTGTGTGTGTGTGTGTAAGGGGGTCCCTAGCAGAAGCTTGGCTTTCTCCCCCCCCCCCCAATTTCTCCTCAGCAGTGCTGGCCTTGTGAGGCAAGCAAGGCAGTTCTCAAAGAGAATGAAGTGGGTGCAGCGCTTCTTCCAACAGCAGAGGAAGGAAGAGGAGCCAAGGCCTCGGAAGAAGCATCCGCTTCATTCTCTTTGAGAGCTGAAATTTTCTGACATTTTGCAACATTGTGCAAATGGGCTGCCTGGGAGCCCCAAAGCAACTACTGTCTCCTTCTGTCAGAACCTCTCCATTAGATAATTAGGAAAGAAGACCACGAGACTCNCCCCCGCCCCCAGCAGCACTCTATAAGCCTCCATAAGGCTATGCGTGCAATTTGTTTGACAAAAAATGCGCCCCTTCTCTGGGCAGGTGGAGATAGCAGCCATCCCCACCCTGTTCTAGGCCATAGAGGGACAGCAGACAAGGACATTAGAGAGATGATCAGTCGAGATCAATTGAACAGAGCACAGCAGTCTCCTTACCAACTTCTTCAAAAGCGGGAGGAGACACCTCAGGTGCTATGACATCGCTTTGTAGACTCAGTCCTATTGGATACTGACAGAGTTAACCCATGCATGGCTGCTGTCTCCAACTGCCCAGAGAAGGGGTGTATCAGGTAAGCAACCAACGCCCATTCTGGCTATCTGTTGATATTAGTCACGTGTCCCTGTTTCCGGTTTTTGTACTTGTCATTTTTGTCTTTCAGTTTATCAGAGATATTTGTGCAATCATGCTGGTTTCTTCTTGGGTTTCTTTTTTTTTCAAAGGTGTTGTGTTGGGATGGGCTTTTATGATCATATTTTTCAAAATTTCCCACTCTTCTTGAGTTGTTTTGAGAGAGTAGGAAAAGGGCTGTATCTGTGATGGAGTTGCCTGTTCAGTTTGAAATGATTTACGTGTTAAACTGAAAATCTGAGAGGGGCTGAAGTCTGCATCTAACCCAGAATAGAGCTTGGGATAAAGTTTAATGACTAAAAATATTCACCTAAGAAACTGTGGCTAGGTTAAACTTGTGCTAAGACATGATTTATATAAACATTGTTTGCTGGATAAAAGTGATAGTTCCTAATTCTAAAGCTTTGAGAAGGCAGCAAGCATTTAGAAGAATTAAGGTTTTTACATTTTTTTGTAACATTTATAATCGCAACCAATAGTTGGGTAAAAAATAATACAGCCGTATGTTTCAATATAATATTATACAGTACAATTATATTATTTCTAATTTTCACAAAATTAGCATTCATCAAATATAGCTAATTCAAAAACTTTCAAAAACTTTTTTTCTTTCCAAACCTAGGAGGCTCATGGATTTAACTTATTAAAAATTAAGTCTGAGCATGGTAAGTAATCCACACTTTGTATTAAAGAAATTGCTCCTCATAAAAAATGGAGGTTATGTGTGTTAGAATATAAATCAATCTGTACAATTCAAGTTTTTTTTTAATTACCTGGACTTTTAGTACAGTTTTCCTTTCTTAAATGTTAATATCAATTGTTTTTTTAATGGTACTCAAGAAATCACTGTATAAATGAGCAGCATGATTTCTTAATAGCTGCTCAGGTTTCAGCACTGAAGTAATACATATCAAGCAGTGGCATGGCTGTATTTGCTTTATTCCTCCTTAAGCAATATACAATTACCCTTCTATTTCAAATCATCAAAAGATATGCAGAACTTTAACTTATTTAAGAACAAGAAATGAAGTTTAAATACTATAAATACAAGATTGTTTGTTCTAAGAATCTTATTTAGATATATCTATTTCTTCCCTAAAGCCTATTTTTTATTTGCTAGATCTGAATTTCTATCAACAAGTAAAACTAATGAATTACATCAGGAGACAGGTGCACCAGTGTCAGTGTTTTAACTGTGAGAAAAAATTCCAGTTGAAAGAAGAGTTAATATGTCATTTGGAAGATAGCAAACATATAGCAGTTCTGCCTGACAGATCTGTTTGGGATCAACCACAGTAAGTTATGTATGCATGCACCATCAATATTGTAGACACTGTATTGTAAGACTTAATTTGACAGCCAAGGTTTGTATTCTCTTAATCTGTGCAGGCTACAAACCAGCCAGTCATTCAGAATGCTCTCTGATCAACACACTTTCAAACTAAAAGCGCTAATACAATTTGCTAGATATTTTTTGCTTGATTTAAAAGGAAAGTATAGAATATTTTCATTAGACAAGGCATGTCACTTAACAAGTGGCAAATAGAGAACAGTCTGTTTTCTGTTACAAACTATTCAGTGTGTTTAAAAATGCAAGATAATTTAAGTTTACAGAAAGTAGGAAAACAGAATTAACTAGACTTGAAATTCAGAAACAAGTACCACTAGCATTGTTGGTTTCTACCTTCAAGAATCTGTAGTATCTGAATATATTGTTTCTATGAAAAAAAGAGATAGATAGATATGTATGTTAACATATTAATTATGTACACATATAATATGCATGTGAACATATTCATTATGTGAACATATCATAAATTGTGAGGCAATTTCCCAGTAATGATTCCCATTTCATTGGGAACCGTGTTAAGAATTGGAATCAGAGAATAGCATCCAATTACATGAGTTCTTTGTTTGGTGTTACCTACATGCAGTAACAGTTATTGCTGCCTTGCATTCTTCCATCAGCACTGAAATAGTAATAGATCTATAGTGCACTGCACATCATTTCAGTCCACTTTAACTAGTATCTCACAAACTACAATAGCAAGAGATAGCCGCAACTATTGTTAATTTCTCCTTACATGACAGGCTATTGCTGTTTATGTGGTGCAGTAGCCACACCCATTTCAGTAATGTTAGGTTCAGTCATAATGCTATAAGAGGTGTGGGCAAAGAAAACATTAATTAGCTATATTACTTTTTTTGTTTTGTTTAGGTACTATTTTCCTACCTATGAAAATGATACTCTTCTCTGCTTACTTTCTGACAATGAGGATGAACTGACAGCTGAAAAACAAACAGATAACATACCTGTCATTAGTGAAGATGTTTCCAATATAGAGACTTTGAAACAGAACAGTGTATTAAATGAGCTTCTTCACGAGGAGTTAAATAACACAGAAACATAATTACAATGAAAAAAATCTTAATAACTGGTTTTCAAATTGAAAAAAGGGTAAAATATTTGGGTATTACTATGTCCAATATGAATGGTATGTTATTTCAACATAATTATATTACAGTATGGAATGAAATTAAGGAAGATCTGTTAAGATGGAAAAAGATGAAATTTATCCTTGGAGATAAAAATAAAAGTGTTACCTATATACAGTGTTGTTTTTATTTCAAACAATACCAATTTTGAAAATGATGTGCCTTTTAAACAACGGCCAAGTTATTATCTAGATTTCTATGGCAGAGAAAGAAACCAAAGATTAAATATAAATTCTGCAGGATACCAAAGACTGATTAGGATTACTTGATTTTTGCAGTATGTTGTTTTGGTTGGATGAAAGAATGGGACCTCCTGAGAAATAAAATAATGAAGTTTGTCGGACATGAGCTTTTTTATGGTACAATAAAGTTAATATTAATGTAGATTTTAAAAATCATTATGTGAAAAGTGCTATATTGAAATATAAACCCAGGTGCCCAAATATATCTTTTATCAACCTCCATATAGGAAGAATTCTATAGAAGAGTAACTGTAGATAGAAATAAATGGTTAACATACAAAGATTTAGTAGAAGAGGGTGGAGAAATTGAGATAAAGTCAAGAGAACAATTACCTGTAGAAGCACATTGTTTCTGATTATATGCACAGTTAAGAGAAAGATACAATATGAATAAAAAGACAATTTGAATTGAAAATTACAAAACATAATTTGAAATTGAACTATAATGTGTACAAATGATGAACATGTAAGAGCAAAAATTAATAAATTTTTATTGAATTTGAAGTAAAACATAGAGATGAATATTTGAGAAAGAATGTGGGCAACTGGTATTAAATTTAGATTAATCATTTATGAGAAAAAATGTAAATGATGCATCATTGGTCTGTGACACCAAATAAATTATCAAAAATGTACAAATGTTGAAAATATGAAAACATAAGGGGCATTTTATTATGCTGATGGATTTGCACAAAAACTAAGAAATTTTGGATATAAAATTATATGAAGGATTTTAAAGATTATTATTGTAAAGAAAACAATTTTTTTTCTTATTGGGACTCAAGATATAATTAATTAGGAAAAATGGTAGATTGATTTTTTATGATAAAATAGAATGAGCTGGAAGGGACCTTGAAGATATTCTAGTCCAGCCCTCTGCTCAAACAGGAGAACCTATACCATTTAAGTGACTATTTAGTCTCTTCTCATGTGTTAATGTCAGCAAGATTACTGTATAAACAATAATGGATGAACAATGGGAGAGCCAGTTTGGTCTAGCAGTTAAGGCATCAGGGTAGAAACCAGGAGACCCTGAGTTATAGTTATGAGTTATGGGGGCTATTGTTAAGAGATTGGGGTCCCCACATATTTACCTAGACCAGTGTCAAAGACATCCTCAAACTCCTTAAAGAATTCTTCAGCGCTCTCGTCTTTCAAGGTGTTGATACCGGTCACTTCTAGGCCCAGATCTTTGAACCAGTCAAGCCCAGGAGGCTCTGCAGGACACCGCTGACCACGGTCACTGGAAGCTGGCCACTGAAATTTTTGAATTGCACCCGGAAGGTGCCCTGGCCCACAATGGGGACTCAGTTCCCCTGATAATCGTGAAGTCAGATGTCAGGAATGCGTAGATGCTGCTTCTTCAAGCTAGGGATAGTGTCAGCACCTCTTCATTGGGTAATTAGGAAAGAAGACCACGAGACTCCATAGATAGAAATCAAGTGTACTTTTACTA